TCAGCAGGGGAGACTGCTTGGAAGCTTCTAAGAAAGCTACAGATAAATGTTTTTTGGTTTCTTTTTTCCTCCAGTCAAAATTGGCTCCTTCTGAAAAACAAAGCAAGGCAAAAGATGAAAGGCTCTCTTTTCTGAAGCCAAAGATGAAGAATACAAAGAATATTAATGACTAAGAAGTCTGCCCGTAAATGCCATGAGCTTAGCGGCAGTAGGGACAGAAAGGAAGAACAGGTCTGCTATTAACTAATCAAGTTTCCAATCTAACGAGCAGTGATGAAGGCTGATTGGGTCATTTATGATTCCATAGTGTTAGTTGAGAAGAACACAGGTTCCCTATGAAGGATAAAGGAAAAGATGCCATTGCAGACACAGGAAGCTCAGGATGACTGTGGGTCTCTCACAAAGCATGGAACAGCAGTAAACTCCCCATCAGTGCTCGTCTCTCCTTCCCACCTCTGTGCATGCACAGGTATACAAGATGTCTGTCCTGCAGGAGATTGAAGAATTGTTTCAGATGCATCACCTGGCTTATACGGCACTTCTAGTCAATCCAGTCACAAAATATTATGTTTTCATGAATCACATTTCCCAAAGGAAAGCTTCAAAACAGAGAGCTTCGCCTTCATCGTGGTTATTGAATGCAGTGTGAGCCTGCCCAGCCACCACAGCTCCCCAGGACGCTGACATTCCCCATCACAGGAGGGATCTGTTGACCAAGGGCAGAGCAGCATAGAGGCTGCGCCCAACCCCTCATCTCTGCACCGCCACACAGCATCAGCACAAAGCACAGCCCTCCGCAGCTGACATTCACCCGTTTGCTTCTGAGAAATCCCTTGAACTTCAGGAAACGAAGCAAAACAACGCCGTGGAGAAAAAGAAGAAGCCAGAAGCGTGTCATGGTTTTATGTTTTTTGGCTTTCAGTATTCCGCATCATAACACTAAGCAAACTTGAGATTTGGAAACGGATTCATTTGCCAGCTCATAGGCATACACGCCTAGTGTGCCTATACTTACATGCTAGACTCAGGCTCTCCACTCCATAGAGGTATTCTGAATATTTTTTTTTTTAAATCAGCAAGAACTCAACCATCACTGCACCTACAGGAGAGAAGATGGAAACGATCCCCCCAGTCTAAGATGTGACCATCCAGGTTAAAGGAACCTCCAGTCTGCAGCTCTCCTTATAGCAAGACAGAGCAGATAAAAGAAAAATTATATTTGACATTATTTTCCTCGACAGGCCATTGTGAGCTCCTGCATACGGACTGTATTTTGGATTGGAATCTGGTCCAGTAGATGATATGACAAACTTCGGAGGCTGTGGGATGGAAATTTGGGGAGCGTGCTTACAGCTAAAAGCTGGCAGTGTTCAACCAAGTGCTGCCACAGAACTCTGCTGCTTTCCCTGTCCTACAGGGCAGGTATGCAAAGCTGCAGATTCCATGCCCAGCTCTGAGTGACACACAGCAGCCTCTGCAGATCACCAAGTTCTCTCAGCATCTGTCTGAGAAATGGGAATAACAACACATCCCAGCGGCATCACAAAGGCTTCCTAATGCTTGCAAGCACATTGTAGATAAGGAACATCAAGACTGCAGTTGGCAGAAGGATTTTGGGCAGGCAGACAGACATAAACCCAGGCACTCACGTCATATATGCTTGCAGACAAGCACAGCAGCAGATCAGTTCCCTGTATTTAGTGGTTGTGGGCTTCATCCTCTCAACATACTGAGCACTGCCTTCAATCCAAAAAATGAGTCCAGGGAGAATATTCGCATGGTTAATGTTAATCATATGCTCAAATTCTCTGGATTTATAGAGAGTAAAAGAGAGAAGTGCTCCCCAGCTCCAAAACAAATTGCCCAAAGATATACTTAGGACCCAAGTAAACATTCAACCAGCAGGGGAAAGGCCTCTGCTATGCACCTGCTGGATGTCTGCATCACTGAAGAAACACACAGGTGGGAAAAGCATCTGGGTGAGTTAGTTGAGACAAACCCTTTCTAACATAACCAACACGATGCTGTTGGAAAGAAGCACCCTAGAGCATGCGAGCAGTATGCTCAAGCAGAAAACATCCTTGAGCAAGGAAAGGTGGAACAATAAACAAACAAGATTTTCTAGGAAACCCTTCACATACATTCAAACTTATGATTATGAATCAATTTCCTAAGCCTATTAATTACTGCATGCAGTGAGAGAATAGGTTCTCCCAGCAGACAGGCACTGCCAGCAGGAGCTCACAAGCGCTGCAAGCCTTGCAGCAGGCATGGGCAGCATCATTTCCTCAGCCCTCTACATCAGAGAGGACATAAACGCTAAGCAAAAAGCTTTTGACCCTCTCTCCCCTTAAAGCCTTGTTTGTTTAAAGCACACACTCATCTCTCTTGCCTTGTTTCTGTGAAATATCTGACTCATTCTTAAATCGTGCTGAACTCCTGGCCAAGATAACGGCCTGGGGCTATGCAACCTCCTACACTGGCTGGTCAGGAGGTGCAGAAGGGTCTCCTGGTTCCCTGCAGGTGCCTCAATCACTCCAGCAAGGACACGGCAGCACTTTGGCACAGGTGAACCCAGCACAGCTGAAGGTTCTCACAGCATCAGGTGAGCTGAGCTGAGCTGCACGTGGTCACAGATGCACTGCTGGAGAACAAAAAGCGCTTCAAGCTGCGTTCCTAACTACAGCACAGACGTATCCCTCTCCAGATCAGTGTCAGCAGCATAAACAAATAACTGACTTCCAGAGATGATTTTCAAAACTCTGTTCAACAAGCACACATAGCAAGAAAAGCCTCAGGCAATTAAAGGACGACTATCCAGTGCTTGATTGCTCCAGCAGATCTGTAAACATTACCCAGCTTACTCACAGCAGCATCATGCTTCGCCAGCAATGTGAGAAGGACAAATCACACAACATGCTCACTAAATAAGGCTCTTGACTATCTCAAGGGATTTTTGAAAAGTGTTTTAAGATTATTACCCCCAAATTTATTAAATAACACTAAGTTCTTTCAACTGAGCATCCTAGGTGAAGTGATTTATGGTATAGTAGAAATGTTTTCTCAACTAATGACTTCTTGCGAGGTGCACTGTGTTGCAACAGCACTCACCACTTTTAACTTAATAAACCAGGGGGAGCTATAGCAGTCATTTCCAAAGGGTTAACAAGGTAATTATCTTCCTTGGCTGACCGAATTAGAACTATACAAAATGCTGTGCCTCAGAGCAGACAGAAGTTTACTCCTACCCTCACCTCCCCTAACCCAAAACTGACAGGGGATGAAATTACACTGCTGGGTGAGGCTGCAAGATGTCCAGGCGAAGTCAGCACAGCAGTAGAAATGCTGGTTTTGTCTCCCATTGCAAGACACTTCGCCATCCCAAGGCTTGTAGGTACTACAGAACACCACAAAATACACTTATTGCCCAGCAGGGGGGAAATCCCTGGGAGAGGGACCCAGAAGACACCACTGTGACTCCCAAAAGCAGCAGCATCACTTCTCATGATGGATGGTAAGTAGCAAGGCACAGCTTCAAGCTTGTGCAGTGTCAGAACATCTCTGACAACAAGCTAAAACCACTCTGACATCTCCAGTGCCTTCTCTTTGTTCTGTAGCATCACCCAGGAGGACTCCTCTAACAGATCCTTCATTGCTAGCAATGTTTCTCCGGCTAGGATTTTGACTCATACTTCGCTCTACCATGTCTTCCATGGAATTCAGAAAGAACTTGAGGATAAAAAAGTGAATCACTCCCCATATCACCCCTTTACCCAACCCTTCTTTAGCCCAAGCAGTCCACTCCTCTCATCCATAATAAACTAAGCAAGGACAATGCACTCCTGGAAAGCAGTGGCAAGGAGCATTGCTCTGTGCAAAAGAGGAGATGCTGCACCACAGAGCAGTTAAAGCAGGGGCTGAGCCTGGCAAGGCTTGCTGGAATAGACCTGTTGGCTTAGAAAAAGCAATTAAACTTCCAGTCTAATTTCCTTCTGATCTAAGTCCAGAATGACTCCCATTAAATCAATTACTGACATGGTGTCACTCTGGATTGTGGTCTCAAATAGAGCTTCTGAAATACAGGCTCTGTTACATCTACTCTAATACATTCTTTTGAACTAGGAAATATCTTCTGTGCAATACACACATCAGTATTTTAGGTTTTAGCAACAACACGAGGTGTACCAACCCTCCTGCCTGGAAATCTCAGGGGCAGGAAAACGCCTTACAGGACCATCAGGTCCAGAGAATACAACCTGGGCACAGCTCCTCCTCCACCCTTCTCTGTTCCCCCTAACCTCTTAGTTTCACATTGTACCAGGTCATCCCGGAGAGCCAGCACCAACACAGAGCATCAAATCCCCCAAGCTACGCTGTGTCACCCAGGCTATCAAAGCCCGTGCTGATGGGCAGTGCAGCTGCCCTCATGCCCTGGTAATTAGGTGCTACGGACGCGCTCCTGCTGTAAGCACATCTTTGACATAACATAGCATGACAATTTCTTCAGAGCCACAGAAATGCACTGCATACAAATAAACCTGAATGCTGAAACCATTTCATTGTTCATAAGAATATGCACACTGCACCTGTTACGACCAAGGGCACTGCTGGTGCCTCGGAGCTGATGAATTCAGCTTCCACCAAACCTGGCTTGCCTAGGAGGACTGTTAAATTCCAAGAGCAAATAAAACACCGCAAAATCATTTTATGAAAATAAATCCTTACCAGATATACGGAAAGAGATCTTTAAATCCGAGCTAAGCAAAACAATTCACAAACTGACATTTTTCCCTGAGCTTTCCTTACGACCGCGGAGTCAGTTTAAATTAAATTTAGCCGAAAGCAAATAACTCTCGGACTGACAGCGCTGAAGTCCCTGCCTGGAACAGCTGCCGGGGAGCCCAGCCCAGGACTCCGAGCAGAGGGAGGCAGGACGGTGCGAGCCGCCAGAGCCGTACGAGAGCAGCCCGCGGGGAATCGCTTCCGCAGCGCCCGGAGGGAGCCGGGAGCAGGTGGCAGAGGCGGGCGGGTCCCCACCGCCAGCACCCACGGAGCACCGCCGGGTTTTTAGGTGGGAAGGAAAGGCAAGAGGAGCGCGGGAGGGGGACGCGGAGCTGCGGCAGCGCGGTATTGGGGGGCGGGGAGCGGGGCTACTCACCGAGCTACGCGCGGCCGCTGCTGCCCCCACTGCTGTCCATGGGGGCGGTGGGGCGACGGGAGCCCGCTGCGGGCGAGAGCCGCCCCGCGATCCGCCGCATCCGCGGAGGAGGAGGCGGCGACGGTAGAAGAGGAGGAGGAGGAGGAGGAGAAGGAGGAGGAAGAGCAGCCCGCGCCGCACCGCCCCGAGCCCCAGCGCAGCCGGGCCGCAGAGCGCCGCCTGCCCGCCGCGTCCGGCACGGGACCGGCTGCGAGACAGCGAGCGCGGCCCGCGGGGCAGGTGCAGCTGCAGCGCCCCGGGGCCGTGCCAGAGCTCGGGCAGAGAAGGAAGGCGAGGAAAGGCGTAAAGCGGCCGTGCGTACGTGGCCGAGCATCGAGCCGCCCCGCGAGGGCTCCTAATGAAGTACAGCTGTTCCCTGATATAATTATAGCGTCCTCCTCTTGGTAATTGGCTTTGGCAGTTGTGCTGATCAGAATCCTCCCCGTGCACCTTTCGCGCAGCCCCTCCTTGCTCGAGGCAGAGACTGCAGCCAAACCCTGTCCTTGCCTCCCTGCAGACCCACGGTGTATGGGAAAGGCCCTGTGTTTCCAGCTCCCCGAGCCCCACGATTAGAGAGCTGTGACTTTGACGGATGCCTTTGGCTCCCAAATAGTGAAAATAAAGGATGGTGTTCATTTATTTATTTCTGAAAGTATACATCCTTGGAAAAGCAAAATGACTGGGCTAGGCGTAGGAAAAGAGGGCATGGCATTTCAGATTTACAAACAAAAGGTTATTGCAGATGCTCAGGAAATGCTATTCTCTGGAAGCATGGCACCTTGTCAGATTGGCCGCTAGGATGCCCAGAGCTGGCTGAGCATGACAGCACAGGTCCTCTGCTGCTCCCTCGCTCTACCTGTGCTCTACACAGGCTGGGTAAGCTGCAGCTGGTTCAGACACTCCAGTTCTTCCCAGATGAGTTTGTCTTTAGAGCAATTGCCAATGAGGGCACGCTAATACAAGCCAGATGTGTGGGTGTTTTATGTGTGTATGTGAGGAAAATGGATCAAGCCCACCAAATCATCCTGCAGAGCACACGCAGCCAACCCCAGGTTACGATTTCCAGTCCCTACAGGCCCTGGACCTGACTGCTTCCCCTGATGACTCAAAGCTGAAACGTGGCTGCCCTTATACCTGCTGACACTTGGGTGCTGTGAGGAGTGTAAATACTACAGATAAGCGGGATTAGGGAACTCTCTTAGCCCAGGGTGGCTACAGTCCTGTGAGCAAAGGCCAGCTTCCCAGCCCAGGCCTTCAGTAAGTCACTCTCCCATGTTATATTCACCGGCAGCACCAGCATGACAACTGTGGACTGCAAATGACTTTCACAGAATCGTATGAGTAGATTAGCATGCTTACCTTACTATGTCCTTGTTTTTCTTACACTTCATGGACCTTCCAGCAGGAGCATGAAGACCTTCTTCCTGCAGTTCTACACATCAGTATTTTTCATCTGTCTCCCACTGACTCATTTTTTAACATCTTTCCAGATGTTAAGCTGTTGAATGTATGGCTTCCGAAGATGAGCTTTGTTAAAAGGAGGAGGAACAGTAAATTTGTTCTGCTCTGACTTCTGTTGCAGTCAGAGCTGACTTCAAGTCATTCCTCAGATATTCCAGGGTAACTGTCTCCAGGCTTTGTCTCTTTTGGCACACCTTTTGCATGTGTGCCCCTCTGCAAGCATTTTCATATTGTTTTCTGAAGATCTTACCCTGGAAGTAGAAAACAAGGAAGCTGAATTCAGCCAGTAACGGGTCAGTGATTTTGTTCTTCATTTCATTCCATTTTAAGAATGCTTTCTTAAAGGAAATAAGGTAATGTAACTGTTTGATCCTAAGCAAGTGAGAACAACGCCTTTTTTCCCCTGGTATGAGGCACCTGTCCAACATTTTATTAACTCTGCTAATTGCATTAAGCATCATGCCGCGCTGAACAGTCCTTGGCTGCTAATTCCCAGATCTCTATAGTTAAGTTGACTGTTACAGAAGTAAAATTCATAGCAGGAAAAAAAGAAAAAGAAAGAAAGAAAAAAAGGACATTTTAGACTCACAGTGGCAAAGAACTGGTCGTAACAGTTCTCAGTTCTCAATTCTGATCAGCTTCTGTCAGCAATCACATTTTATGAACTACTGGAAGATGATGTTAGGACTCACTGCCACATGCTTCTGAGCTGTGTGGGTACACGAGAGATTGATTGATAGATCTTGCATGTTCAGACATTTATACAAGCAAGAAACATTAATTTTGCACATGTGAATATCTTATGGAGATTTCTATGCAGATAATTTGTATATGCTCTTTCATTTTGTTACGTGTGAACCTGATAATAATCTGAATTTACATACACAAATTACTGGAAGGTCTGGATCTGGCACACCAGGGAGTCATTTCTGGCTAGCAGCTTTAGAGATGTGATAACTATTTAGACAACTATATAAAATGAAATCAGCACTTGTCGAGGAAAAACGCGTTGTTATGAAAACTGGAACCGATACGTTCTCAAATAAACCATCAAATAAAGTCTGTGAAAAAGTTAATCAGAAATCCTCTCCTCCACTCACCTGCAGTACTGCTCTTCTTATTTCTTTCTCTCCTTTCCTGGGGTGCAAACCCACACCCAGCAGTAGAGAGCTGTGGAGGCAGAAGCAGCAGTAGCATGCTGCAGATGTGCAAAAGTGGTACATCGCTGCTCAGAGCAGGGAGAGGTAAAGGTCCTGCACTCTGCATTGGTGGCTCTGCCTGCAGGAATCCAGCACACGTGTGCCCAAGGAGGGCATCATCCATGGTGTGAGTGCAACACACACTGGGTCTGGCTGTCGTGCATAGTAGGTTTGACCTGGAAAAGCTGGTCTTGATACTTTTGGTTCAGAGAGCAGCTGAGACCCGAGTTCTGCTCCAGAGATAAGAGAAGAAACAAGGCCAGAGGAGACCTATGGAGGAAGCTTCAACTGTCAGGTGGTTTCTGGATGACATTTTCCATTTTTAAGAAGCACAAGGGCTTTTGAACTGTTTTTTTGTTGGTGGTGGTGATTTTTTTTTGTTGTTGTTGTTTGTTTGTTTGTTTGTTTGTTGAATGGATATTGCTTCTGCTTTTTCTTATTTGATTATTAGGGTACCTATGCTGCAACCAAACTGAATGGAAACTGCGAGGACTCCCATTTCCTGGAAAAAAAGGAAATGGAATGGAAGCAAGTGGCAAATAATAATAAAAAAGCCATTCAAGCCACTGCTAATCACATTAGTTTATGTATGTTGTTTATAATTAGACTACTTAAACACTCATTTCCTTACCTCATTACAGACTATATCTTCGGAGGACCCTCACCTTTGTGCATTGCCATTGTGGCATACAGTAGAGATAGATACAATCACTCAGCTCAGTATTTGTGAAGTAGTCCAAAGTACTTTGATGCAGCAGCATAATAAATTCTCAGTTGCAGCTAATTGTCTCATTTTAATGCATTTCTAATGAGATACCTGGGAGAATATAAAAACAATGCAAGCCCACCAAAAAACAGTACTTTTCATTGGCTTTGCAGACCCTCCTCATTTATGTCTTCCTGGAAAAGGGCTTTTTCATATTAACACACAAAGGAGCAGCCCCTTAGCTTCACCCAGCTGTGTGACAGCATCATTCTCTGACACACCATGACCCACCATCCATGGGCATGGCAAAATCTGTAAAACACCATGGAGGGAGTCCAGAGAGTAGAGTCCTCCATCCTGCATATGTTCCACATCCCCGTCACTTCTGTCTCTCTAGGCAACACAGGTACATTCATGTTGCCAGCAGGTTGCAGAAGGTAGGTTTTTTCATTCCTTGTCATCTGAAATGTAGATGTAACTCTCAGATACATCAGGAAGGAAACAAGGTGGCAAAGGGTTGTAAGTGCACTTCCAGTTGGTGCTGGCTTGCCCACATGCCTAGTCAGTAGGCAGTCACTGCCCAGTGCCTGCAGTCACTAGCTGGCTTCAGCTGGTGAGAGCTCTGGTCCGAGCTCAGTAACTGTGATGCTTAACAATGTAATGACATTTAATACTATTAGCATGTGAACAAACTGGTTTCTTTCTTTCTTTGTTGTGTTTTTTTGTTTGTTTGTTTGTTTTCTTTTGTTTTTAATGTATCTTTGCTTCTTAATTCATAAAGGGGCTTTGCACATCTGCAGTACTTACAGAGACAAGGGGCTTGTTGATTCCAGCAGAAGGGCTCTCCAGTCTGTGCTGTGGCTGTGATAGAGTGCCTAGAACAAACACTCAGGTTAGTTGCAAAACTCCCCTTGAATTTTGCTGCTTCTGGGAAATGCCTCAGAGTTAGGTGAGCTGGCTGCTTCCAGAGCACTGCAAAGCTGCTGAATTTGTTTGAAGCAAGGGGCAGAGGGTCACGTTGCAACCATAGGTCAGGGAGAGCATCACTTTTGGGAAATGAATATTGACTCACTGAACCTACAATAACAGTAAAGAAAAGCTCAAATCTCATAGCACTTAATAGTGCTTTGTTGATAAGGATTATTTTGACAAGACCTCCAGGAAACGTACTTTCTCACTGCAAACCCATTTCCAGGCTGCTTTTGCCCTTACTGTATTTCTTCTCTTTTTCTAAAATGGATTTTTCTTTTCCACAGATGAGATCCCGGTTTCTTTCCAGACTTGAACAACAGTGCAGTTGAAAAGAGTGACAAAACAAGCTTCTTCTCAAGCTACCACACAAAAGACGTCAGTCAGGATATTTACAACAAACACTGGCTCCAAATGCGAGGACTCCCATTTCCTGGCAGTGTTGCTCTACACAGTGTTTTCTCTGGAAGGAATCAATTACATCAGTGGGTTCGGGAATGTATGTTGAGATGGTTTAATCAGAGTTGAAAATCACAGTACAGAAAGGGGCTTCAGTTCTTCTGGCTGGACACAACGTACTCCATTTGGGAGACACTAAGGAATTTCACTGATACCAGACACATTAGCTCATCTCCATCCAGTGTTAACATGGCTGGTGGCAGTACTGTATGAATCTGATTCAGCAAAGCACTGAAGCACATGCTAGACATTAATTTCTTTAATTAGACTTAGACATGTGCTCTGGGGTGAGGATGTGCCACAATACCCACAGAAATCACGGCTCCGTTCATCAGGTAATTTGTTTCGACCAGTGAATTCCTCCGTAGACAGAAGTTTTGTCATGTTCCCCATATGTTCCCCCTGTCTGTTGCTTGGCTCTCCCTGTTGACTTTATTCTTACAGTTCTAGGCAGTCTTTCAGAACTTAACACTTCCTCTTCATTATACATTTGTACAACATCTAGTACAAATAAGGCTGTGGTTTCTATAGCTCTTGTAACACCAGTTATTACGACAGGAATGGATTAAGTGCAAGCTTTACTGCCTTCCTAAATAGAGGCTTATAGTTAGACCCTAATCTTTCTTATGTTTTCCTCGGTGTATGAAATGGGTCTTTACTCATCCCAGCTTGCTTTAGATCCCCATGGGGCAAAATGCCTGTGAGTGGAATAACATCTATTTAAAAGGATCAATAGGAAGCAAGAAGTGAAGATTAAAAGGTCTGGAAAACTTCTAAGACTTCAGCTGATACGTTGTGTAACACCAAGTTTGTAGCAAGATGACAGAAGCCGCGTTCCTATGTGACTTGACAAGCTATGGAAATGCCAAATGTTTCTGCAGTAAGCTAATCTGCTGATAAGAAATTAAAGCAGTGGTTAATTAGAGACCAGGTTCAAGGGAAAGCTCAGCTGAGCCTACACAGTTATTGCTTCACTGATAGAGCATGAGGTTTCAAAAGAAGCACTGAGTATAGGCAGGTAACCTGCAAGAGAAGGGCCAAAGCCCACTCTGTTCCACCAGTGTAAAATTTATTGTCAGTAGGAGCAGATTCAGACTGATAATCATCAGTAAGTTTCAGTGAACTGGCTGCTTAATTGTGTGAGAGTTGCGAGAGAAAGATAAAGGTGGATCTAAGTCATTATCCAGGGGCAAGTTCTAACAGTGCTGGACAAACATTTTGCTGAAGGGTCTTTCTTAGGCACTGGGTTTTTATCTGAATTCTATCAACTGCATTCCTAGGAGGAGGAAAAAACCCACAAGAGCAAACCCTCACCAAGAGAAGAAACAGTACGTGTTTGATTGACAGCCATGTATTCTTCTGTTTTGTTTTAAATTAGGATTTTCAAAGGGGTAGGGCTAAGGAGCTTCTCTTGCAGAAGACCGAGGGTCACATCCCTTGCCTGTCTAAACCAAGTTGGCTTAATTGACTCCTTTGCTGATTTATAGCAGCTGAGTGTCTGCACTGAAAGTATAGACCCAACAAAGAACCAGCAGCACACCCATGCCTGTTCTTCCATGATTCCAAGTACAGCATGATTCATACCCAAGTACAGGAGAAGTGGAATGCAAAAAGCAAACACAAGACAAGGTGAAAAGTAATTACATTTCCTTGACTGTAGATTAAAGAAAGAGGAAAAAAAGCCTAGCACTAAAAATTCATTAGATTCTTTCTCTTTAGAAACCTGTAAACTATGAAGGCAGGCTCTTTATTGAATTAAGTTTTTTGGCAGAAAAAATAAATATTGTTGTGTGAATTATTGGAACATGCATCCAATTAAAATCCTAAAACAGAAATGCACTGTTAATGTAAGGGCTATTAAGCTGAGCTGAAATGCATAGATCATATTTAAACTGAAAGGAGGTAAATAATCCATTGCACTTATGTGATTGCCATTGGCAGAAAAGGAAGTAATGCAGAATTATGATAAAGGGTGCAGCCAATAATGGAAGCTGTGGCTGGCGTCCCAGAAAGAGACACCACCCAGAACTGGTGAGTAAAGCAAGTAGTAAGATAAATAAAGTAGTAGCAAGACCAAGTACACGATCTGTTTTGTTGATCATAGGCCTACACAACCATTCTCTGCATGCAGAGAGGCCTGGCCAACCACTGAAATTGCAAGGCATAGAACACTGGGGTGGAGAAGCCTTGGCTAACCTGAAATTATGGGCTGCTGGCATTTAATCCTGCTGTGTGACAGGCAGGTGGGTGTACATGTGTGTGTACTGGTGCATGGACTGCTCTCCATTTCAGCCCAAACTGGAAGGTGACAGTTTGCTTTGGTTAGTTTTAAATGGTTTGAATTGTGTAAACATTAATTTCACAGTCACAGGCTGAGATAGTAGAGACTGTGAGAAGAAAAATTTAAGAAAAATGTGTGTACAAGAGTAGAAAGGGTTGCTGCTCTGTGCTGCAGAGGAGAAGAAAACTTTCTGCAAGATGGACAGAACAGCCAACTTTAACAGGAATTACCCCATAGGGGCAAAGTATTTTCTTAGTGAGAACAGAGAGTGATTTTTATTTTTGCCACAGAAGATATTAAGGCTCACTATCTGTGATGGAGTCTTTCTGACTTCAGAACCAGCAGAGCAATACTGTGTGTCCAATATCAAGTCACAAAACAATTTATTTGCCTTTTCCATCAGAACACACTGTTCCTACAGGGGCATAATTTTACAGCTCAACACTCGTGCTGGCTCTGAAAGCTTCTATTAAGACAGAAATCTCCCAGATAATAGAAAACTGTCTTAGGCCCCGTTCTATCGGATCTCAGCTGCTGTCTGTCCATTTGGGAGTTTATAGCAAGCTCATCTTTGCAATAATAAAGAGACTTTATAAGAGGTCTTAAAAGGCCAACAGTTTCCAACAGCATCCCTGTCCTCCTTCCCCCACTGTTGCCTCTTTTTCCTCCGTTGTTTCTGGGAATGAGGCATCACTGCAAGTCAGATCTGCTAGGGATGAGAGACCTTGCACTGAGTTTGGGGGGTGTCAAGATTTGATACCATTTTGACCTCCAGTGCCAACGTACCCTGCAGCCCAGGGGTATAATCACCCCAGTGCTGCCCACAAGGGCACTCGCTGTGATACCCTCATCTTTCACCTCCATAGCTGTGCTGCTCTCTGATGCAGGCTCTCGAGATGCTGACTGCAGCTGACTCTGGCTGCCCCACAGGCAACTCAATAAACAAACTTCTCACAGCAGCCTGCCTCTTCACTGTTTCATTTCCCCACTATGCGAGCACCGGTGTTCCAGAGGTAGAGACGACAGTACAGATGTTAAACCAGGACTTCCCAAACCAATCTAGTCTATCACTGAAGCTGAAATCTCCTGGCAGAGGCAGTCCATGCCCCAAGAACCCCCCAGCTGCAGCAGAGCTGCCAGACCCACTAGCCAGGCGTTCCCTGGCAGGAAATCTTGCCCTGCTTTTTCGATGGGGGGGATTGTGGACCCACAGCTCTTTTACAGAAAGGTGGATAAATACAGGAGAAATCAGAAATATGGCAATAGCTGCATTTCATTACTTACCTCGTTAGTCATCCAGAAAGTTATGCTCACAAAGTGATAGCAAACATGTTTATCTCTGTGTTCTGGGTGGGTGTGAAGTATAACTTGAAGGACACTCTCAAAGCTGCTACTGGCTTCCTTTAGGTTGTAAATTTCTCTAATACGACTGAATTAATTTCTTTATTACTGTATCAGAGAAAAAGGCTGGGTTTACTTAATATCCAAAGGTGCTGGGCCTAGATAGGTGGCAAGGCAGCCCTTCATCAGCAGATGGAGGGAAAAAATACAGCCTCTTTCTCTGGTGTATTTGTTTTAACATTTTTCATTGCCAACATTCAATTAGTCAGCAAGGTTAATCTTTAGCTAGAGCAAGAACTGTCTTTCTTTCCTTCTCTGTGCCAGAGTTCCCCATGCATGGAGCCTTTGTATTCAACAAGGCAGGAACTGACCTGGGGAAAAAAAAAAAGATGCTGCCTTCTCCCAAAATCTCCTTGAGAGGGCAAGCAGTGCACTGGGCTGCATTAGAACACCCCCATGGACCTAAGCCTTGTCCAAAACAACAACCCCAGCCAAACCACCAATATCTGCTCTTAAATGTCAAGCAGAGGAATTCAGTCCAGATGTGTCACTTCCTCTGCTGAAATCGCATTTTGGCAGCCCTGCTGTCCCCACCAGTCAGAACTAGCTCCTGTTGGGATTCTGAGTGGGTTTGTTGCAGATCAGAACTGTTGGGAGAGGCTGAGCGGGGACACTTCAGGAAAAAGAAAAAAAAAAAGAAAGAAAGAAAAAAAGCAGCAGTCATACTTCACACATGAACTCATTTTTTTCTGAAGTTATTGAACTTCAGAAGAAAAACTCCAGATTGTGAACCTCAGATCTCTTCCCAGCAGAGTACCCTTATCTTGGCCCAGACTGAAATGCAGACAGTGGGGCAGCTGTGAAGGGATCATTCCTTTTCCTTCTGTTATGCGGAAGTTATGGGAGGACCAAACCAGGACAGATGATTTGTCTATGCATTTGTCAGCCAAAGAACTTGGACTCTTGCAACATAAAACCACTACAGTAATAATTCTGGCTGTCCAAGGAGCACGTTAGGAAATGTAAAAGCTGGAGAGGAGGGGGAATACTTGTTTCTTCTTTGTGTGAACAAAAGACTCGTGCCAGTCACTCAGGGCAGCAGGCAAAGGCAGCACACGTTCATGCCACACGACCTGCAAAAACTGCAAATCTGCTGTTGTGGAGTTTCCTCAACAAAATTAGGTGAAATAACAACATGTTTGACTGCACAGGATAGGCTTGTGCCTTTGTATCTCATTTGGGGATTTATCTTCCTTGACACTTCAGAAAAAACAAGCTCTGTGAGATGCTGTTGGTTGCAATTAAACATAAAACATGAAGCAATGGGGGAAGATTGTAAATAGTTCCTTACAAGAATTTGCTACAGAGCCTCCAAGCAAGAAGAATAACCCCTCTATGAAATAACCAGTCAATATAAGAGGATATGGAGAGGCCAAAATCGTAGCAATAGATTCTATCTGTCCAGTCAAACTAGAAAACACCATCAGTGTAAATTAAATTGGAAGTCTGCTTGGTCTTGGTGCCGGATTGTATTTTTAGAGCTGAAGTGCATCCAACAGGGAATGAAGTCATACAAAATTTCATTAAGCAATAAAGGAGCCAGAACTGAACTTAGGCAGAATGGGCAGAACAAAGCACAGATGAGGAAGAGTTTAAAGGAAATGTGCTCCAAAGGAGAAAAACAAACCTCTTCGAATGGCAGGCAGGGAAAATCTTTTTTCAAAGTACATCATTCTGTGATTAAATGATAAATCTTGGCATTACGGTATTTATTCCTGACAGCATCCAAACCTTTTCTGTACATTACTTAAAAAGTCCACGGCTATTTGGCAAACAGGACAGAAGGAGAAGTGTCAGCTGTTAGGGGCTCCCGCTTTGAAGACAAATAGATGAGCAGACAAAGAAGCAAGGAAAGGCTCTATGGTTTCAGCTGCGTGGCCACAAGCCACTTCTTTGTAGCATATGGCATGCACTAACAGGTTTATTTTCCATGAGGAGGATGTATAAACTGTCTGCAACTGCTCTTCACACTTGTCATTCTAAGTCAGAAAATGTTTCTGAGGCATCCTGCAAAAGCAGCCCCTTGGTTGAAACTGAACAAAGAATCCATGGGTGCCTTGCAGGTGATTTGTGGTTGGTCCACACAGGAGTGCAGGGAAGCACCCAGGGAGGTTTATCACAGAAGCTGCCAAGGATACGGGGACACAATATGAAACAAGAGCTATGAAATGAGGAGGGGCAGGGCTGGAGGGGAGCACTGCTGGGAAATGAAGCTAAATTCAGGTCAGGGAAGAGAAGCAGCAAGTGGCAGCACGGCACTGTGTCTCTCCCCCAATGCCTGTGGGCGCCAGGGCTGCCAGCACCTGCTGCATCTCCCCCAGGCTGCAGCCTGCCCCGAGGCCCATTAGACACCATGATTAATATGCAGGGACTAAAGTGACTGGCAAAGATAATCACGCAGCAAGTCAATTGGCTGGCAAAGTTAATTATGCAGTGAGTCAAATGAGTGGCAAACCAACTGACTGAGGCAGAAGAAAGAAACATTTGGCAGTGACAAATGGCAAAACAAGTTACTTCGACAGGGGGTCAAGCGGGCTGGACACGAGATGTTTCCCAGCACAGATGCTGGCAGGATGTCAGCATGGCCACTCCTGGCACCGCTCCCTGGGAGGAGAGCTGGCAGCATTCAGCCCAATCTGCCTTCTCTTCCACTCTTCAGTTACCTGTGACCATGAGTCACTTCTCTCTGCCTTAGGCCTGCTCACTGTCCCCACTGTACATCAGTTGAGAAAGTATTTTGCATTTTCTGCAGCTAAATATAAAACAGGCATATCGACCTGCAAGGGAAAAATACGAACCAAACCTGAAGCAGCCCATGGGTACACCCCTGGTGCAGCCATCAGCAATAACCTCTCCTGCACATCAGAAGCTAAGTGGAAAGGAACCATTTTTCTTTCACCATTAGCAGTCTAAGGGGGAAGAAAATGCATGGGCTCAGACAGAGAGGTTTCTGCTAACACACACCAGCAGAGCACACGGTTTTGGAAGCCAGCTGGAATTTATTTCTCCTGACTGTGAGCAGTGGCACATCTCAAGGGCTTAGTGATGGAAGATGGCAGAGAGCTTAAGATCCCTCTGGGAAAGGTTACGTATTTTATTTCCATATATCTAATATATATGGAAATATCCTATATATATGGAAATATTATATTATCAAAAGAGTAACAGACTTAAACTGATCTGTGAAAGGCTTAAGAGAGGCAGGCAACTGATTTTTTTGTTCTTCACGATCTATAAACATACCCAGAAGTGGTGAGATTCTCAACAGGTTGGTTTGGTTCCTCGTTTGTTTCTACGCTACGTAACTCACAATAACATCACAACTATGGACCAGAACATTTACAGACTGCCTAGAAATTAAAGAAACAAAGTTTAACCCACTGAAAAATGAATGTTAAGTCTTGCGATCTGCAATAATTTTGGTTTAGTCAGCATTTATTCTACTGGCTGATTGACATTGTTGGACAACAGGGGGCTTTGAGACTACATCTGTAGGGAAAGCTCAGGTATCTATAATGCAAAATTGTACTCAGTTCCTCCAATATAATAAAATAATTAATGTAAACTTTTCTTAATTGCCTATGAAGACGTTTTTTCAAAACGATACCTTCTGTCTGCCAAATAATGCAACATTTGCATATCTTACTCTTGCATTTATTTGAAAGCAACAAATGTTTTTTGGGATGATTCATGTTAGTGTGGTGATGAGATTAACATGAAAAAAAAAAAAGGAAAGGAAAACAAGGAAAGGCAACCCCAAAACACCAGGCAGTTTAAAACAAACAACAATAGCAAAGAATCACTCTGGTGCATGAAAAATAAATCCTTTCTAGGTCATGCTTAAATTTGCATTAATGGCCTTCTTGTCAAATTATCTCAGGGGAACTTCAGATTAGCATGCAAAAGAAGATGATACAAACTAGAGCAGTAATACTTGTTTTATTTACCAGACCATTTTCTCCAAAGGAACTAAAAATGAGAATTTTGAGGGATCTGACTTTCATCTTTTATAAAGGAAGTGCAGTTGGGAAGAGCTCACTGTAATTAGCAGCTAGTCAAATAACATATAATTCCTCCCTGTATTTACTCAGCAGTGTGTACTTTAATCATGGAAAACATTAAGCTGACCCTAACACCTCCTGCAAACTGGCTCAGGAACTCATTTCTTCAATTCCTGGATCAGCTCTTCGGAAAACAAATCTTAGCAAGCACACTTAGAAGCAAACAGGGTATCCCAAATCTGCAAATGAAAACGTTTAATAAATAAGATAGGGACTGAAGAAAAAAAAACACATCATAAGCATTTCATCTGCCACTCTGATGCATAAGCAGGGTGAGGTCACCGAAGGTTTGTTGCTGCTGTCATGGAGTGGCAGGGCTGGGTTTGGATGAGATTTGGGAGCTGATAGGGATTCTGGCTTGTCTTGTTGGCTGGAGCTCCAGCAGATGTGTGGGGCACTCATCGCATCGGGGTTTGGATC